CTCTCTCTCTCTCTCTCTCTACTCTCTCTCTCTCTCTCTCTCTCTCTCTCTCTCTCTCTCTCTCTCTCCTCCCTCCCTCCCTCCTCTCTCTCTCTCTCTCTCTCTCTCCCTCTCTTTCTCTCTCTACATCCTATACATACCTGTGTGCAACTATAATAAAAAAAATTAATATAAATTATAAATTACTTCATAAATTATAATATATATCGATATTATATTTATTATTATTATTTTATATAATCAATAGATAAATTGAATAATTTAAAAAAATTTAATAATTTTAATTATACTTAATTATGAAATTATATAAATACAATTTATAATATTAATGTATAAATATTAGTATCTCTATTTAGATTTTAATAAAAATTTAATAATAAAATTAATGACATTTATAATTTCAATTCACAATTATTTAAAAATGTTTTTATAATATATATTTATGTATATATTATCAATTTTTTTATATAACAGCGTAAATTGAAAATGCTATAATTTAAATTTAAATTAAAATTAAATATAAATATGTTGTGATGCATACGCATACAATTTATTTCTTACCTCTTTATTCTTCTTCTCATTCTTCTTCATATAGAACATATAATCTATCTTTTGTATAGACTTATGCTATATAATTCCTATATTCTTTAATTTTTCTATTTTTAACGATTTATTATTATTATTTTTCTTATAGCTTAATTATTTTTAAATAAATTAAACTACTATAATACTGATTAAATTGCTGATATGAAATATAAATACAATTAAATATATATAGTACAATTTAAAAACTCACCTATTTTATAGAAGTAGTATTCGATTTATAATATGTAAAATAGTCAAGCACTCTTGATATTCACATAAACATTGTCCTTTTTTATTTTTCTTATTAACTTCACGTGGTGCTGTTTATGTATTAACTATGTAATAGTTATTTTATATATAGCACTGTAAAAAGATACATCTTCCGTGATGAAATATATAACAATAATTTATTACACATAATAATAATTAATTACCTATATAAAAATATACATATCACATAAAATTTATTTTTCATGTTGTTTAACAAATACGTATTTTCAGAATAATGAAAGTATTATATGTATTCAAAAGTTGTAAGAAAATTATATTGTATTTGATTTATATTCACAATAGATATCAATAACAATGAATTATATTAATTTAAAATACATAAATTCTTTAAATAGTCATTAATGTTTACGTATATATAGCTAAAATATAAAACAAATCATCAAATTTGATTAAACATATTAACAATAGCGATGTTATTAACTTTTATTCTTATTGATTAAAAATTTTATAAGTTTATGAATTTTTTTTAAATTCTGCGCATATTAATTTACCAAAAATTAAAAATTCAGAAAGGGTAATAGATTTATGTTAAATCGCAAATACATTATAAAAATAAAAATATTTCTTTTATCTATACAATAATTCATTATTTATTTCTCAGAATATACGTATATTTTATATAAAAAATTATAAATTTTGTATTAATAAAAAATAAAAAAAAATTATTTCATAAAAATATTTCCATACGTGCAACAGTTCAAAACTTTAATTAGTACTATTTTTTTATTCTTGTTTAATGTATGATAAAAAAATATTGTTTTTTTTTTAATATTTTTTTGTAATTAATTGAAGCAATTTGGTTTTTTCATGAGATAAATTCACAAATTTTTTTAAATTTACTTGAAAATAAGAATTATTTTACTTTCACATATGTTTACATATACATACAATTTAGGATCATATATATATACAAATATCGATACAATTATGTAGTGTATTTTATTTTCATTGCTAGCGACAAATAAAAAAATTAAATCGTCGAACCAATTGTACAAAACGTTATAAGAAAGAATTAATAAACATAAATTTTGTACAAATAAAATTTCCTTGAAAGATTTTTTTAAATATTAAATATAATATAATTTATTAAATATAATATGATCTATTTATTTATTTTTATTATTTTCTAACCTTAACTGTTTATTTTTCTTAATTTCCAGTATATGCGCAAAATATTTGATGTGATTTTGTTGTGTGATATGTTTCCTTTAAGAACAATAGTTTATACGAACATTTTCACGAACGAAACTACAATCACGAAAACAAACAGAATAATAAGATATTATAATCTGAAGCGCGAAATGTTTTAATGATTCTTTACTGCCAAACTCTTAAAGACTTTACAGAATGGCCACTGCTGCTTTCACTCGCGACGCGATCCTACCAAACACGATTTCAGTAGAAGCGGGACGAAGCCGCCAAAAACGATCACCAAGTGTCAAGGTTGCCATTGTACACGAACATGCCGAATATACCAATTGTGTGAGTATGTTAAATGCACTCGCATACACTCTACACTCTCCTTATCTCTCTTATGCTAGTAGATTCACAAAACAATAATATTTTATCGCGATACTTGCACTTATTTTGTAATGACACTAATATCGATATACTCTAACTTTTGTTGTAAATAATTGTAATGCACTTTTATATTTTATGCTTCATAAACGCAATATGTTTTTTCATAAGTTTACCGGGTAAGTTTTAGCGACATTCACCAAAACAGTAATCAACATCCGCGAGAAAGACCCCACTACTTGTTCGATTCACCAGTTATTGCGAATGCTCATGTGGTCAGGATTGTAACAAGTAAATAAAATGAGGTATCATTGTCTCATAAATTTGTTTACAAACAATGATGCATATATGACGGCATTCAAATTTATTTATTTGTTATATATAGTTAAACTATACATAATATATCTATACTAATAATATATATAATATGAATTCAGTATTGAAGCTTTTTTATTTTTATTTTATTTTATCATATAAATATTTTTTAACTAATAATTAATTATTCTTAAACAATATATAATTTTTTATATCTATAATGAAAAAAATTATAATTTTTGTACAATCGAAATATTTAAAAAATTATAATTGAAATGTTTAATTTAATTATAATATCATTAAAATATATTTTTATGTAATATTATTTTATTACAGAATTGCATTAAGATTGATATAATTTAATTTATTGCAATTTTTGTGTAACTAAAAATATTTATAATTTATCATTTGTCAAATAACTATTATTTATAAATAAAATATATATTTTACATCCAAAATGTATAATTTCTTATTTTGAGCCGATCCTGGATGATGTCATAATCGACAGACCAATGAGAAACTCTGTAAATTAACCACACAAATGTCTGATAACATGGATTATATATATTGTGCCAATTTTTATGATATAAAAAATAAACTTGTTAATATAAAATATTAATATAATTATATTATATATTTGAAGGTCTGAATAAGAAATACTAAATTCATATAAAAATCATTTTTCTGTACAAATTACAAAATTTTGTGTAGACATGATACTAGTAACTATGTTCAATTTTCTATATCGATTATCGATGTCAGCCAATAACATGTTTATGCGTCGTAAATAGTATATCTCTATTGGTTAATTATATTCCCGCGATTAAATATTGCAAAAAATAAAAATTATATGTGAATATATAATTTAAAAAAAATTTATTCTTTTATTTATGTATTTGTTTATTGTTAAATATAATTACATGCTATTTAAAAATATTTAACTGAGAAATATATTAAATATATAATGTATAGAATAATAATATATAGAAATATATTAAATATATAATAATACATGATATATATACTTATTACAGATTTAAAATATAATTTTTAAAAATTGATAAAATAATAATTATAAACTAAAATTTTAGATTTGTATAATATATATTATAAATATATTTATAATATATATATATTTATAAATATATTATGTAGATATTATATTGAATAGATCAATATTATAAATATTAGTATATATTCATTATTAATAATATTATATATAATATATATATTATAAAATAAATATAGCTAATATATTATAAATAGCTAAATATATTATAAAATAAAAAACTCATTAATTTTAAGATAATTTTTTTTATTTTACTTATTTATTAACATCATTATTATACAAATTTTATTGAACTTAGTACTTAAAAATTTTTATATATTTAATATTTACAATTACAAGGATATATATGAAAATGTTATTATATTATAACAAAATACATTATTCTTTTAAGAATTATTTATTACACATAAACGATTATAATGTGATACATATTGTATATCTTCTAAATGAAAATATAAGTGAAAATCAGACTTGTTAAGTTCTGTTTTTAATCTAAATCTAATCCTTCATCATCATCACCTTTCTTATCAGGACTAGATGTTGGTGGAGCTTGTTTAGTATTTTTGTCCTCCTGTCCTTGCTGTGTTTGCTCTTGGCCACTTTTAGCTTCTGACTCGAGGGCAGTGACGAATTCTTCAATGTTTCCACTGGCTGCAGCATTGACAGCATCTGGACCCAAGCCAAATTGACGGATGACAGGTCCCGCCTGGCCTGACTGCAAAGCAGACCAGAACATTGATAGCGCCTGGGAGAACTGGGGAGACACTAGCGTGGTACACAGGTGATCCCCTGGTGGTAAGTGCGGGCTCATTGCACGCTCCAAGTTTTCCGTTGCAGAAATCGCCGCAGGGATGGCATTGGTCAGCTCAGTTGCTACTCCCCTCTGCCGGACAATAAGCTGTGCTGTAGGTGGCCGAAAACAACAAATAATCCCAGAGAAACTTCCCCAACTGCTCAGTAGGGCGAGAGTCTCCGACAGCCAGGAAAAGTTCATGTGGAAAAGAATATTAAATAACGAAAGAACCATGCCTCTGTCTCTTGACTTTATATAAGTAGTATTAGTTTTGTCACTTTATATAGCGTTTCAGTAACTGCTGATACCATTGATTCTATGAAATGATAAAAATTTATATGTTACACAGCTAAAATTCATAATACTTAATAAATATTATTGCTTATTTACTGATTTATTTTATTTTTTGATTTTGTTATAACATTAAAATATAAAGGAAATTATAGCATATAAACAATAAAATAAAAACGAAAATATATAAAAGCTGTGTAAACAATTATTCTATTATGTATTATTTAATGAATAAATTTGATAAATTTTTTATTTGAATTAATAGAATTCAAATTAGTTTTAGTAAAAAACTAGTAAAGACAAATGTAACATCTATATAAATTATACATTAAGTAGTATATTTAAGTTTTATAAATAATATTAATATCAATCAACTAATTAAAATAAATTGGAAATTTTAATTATATTATAATTAAAAATAAAAAATGTATTATTATTAAAGAATAAAATATTTTATAATTAAGAAAAAAAATTATAATGTTTATAATTATATGACATATATGTTAATTTTTGCAACTAAAAAAGAAAAACTACAGTTATTTGTATAAATATATAAAATAAATTATATAAAATTTTTGTTACTACCTGGCCTTCAAATTTATTAATTCATATTATTACAAAATTTATATCAAATCAATTTTGTCATATAAAAAATAACATATAACAGAGTAGTCTTTGAAGAGCTGTTTAGGAAGATAATTTTAAATTATTAAACAATGAAATATCATTTCAAGCACGTTATCAAGAATACCATTTTGTTCCTGATAATGATAACAGCTGTAAAAAAAGATATAATTATAAAAAGACATAGATAACATGTTATAGTAAATATTGTTTAATCATTGTTATTGCTGAATAAAATATAATTATATAGTATTAAAAAATATAATTAAATAATATAAAATATATAATTATATTTCGTAAATTACGTGATATGAAGTTTAGTATGCACGCGCATGCTTACATGGTGGCGCCTAATCTCTATATATGTGTATAAATTAAAACATTTTTATTAATACATAAATAAATAGATTATAATCATAAAATTTTTATATCACATATGAAGAAATCATAAATTTTTTATCAAAAAAAAAAATATATCTTATATGAATCAAATTCATTATAATAATATAAACAATAAAATGAATATATATATTTTATATATTATATCTTTTATATATCACCTACACTGATATGATAAAATATTAAGAAAAAATTAATGTATACACATAATATATATCATTGTATTATATAAAATAAATATTATAATATATATACTATTAAAATATATATTAAAACAATGAAAATTTGAATTGTTACTAAATTATTATTTAAATATGTTTCTTTTAATGAAAATGAAACATAAATAAATATCATTTCATTTAATAAATATTTATTTAAATTTTATTATATGATTATATTTATGTTATCCTTTTTATTATTTTACTATTTTATATGTTTTTTATATATATCTCTTTATGTTATTTCATTAATTAAATATAATAATATTATTGTAATTTTTTTGTTAATATATTTTTATTTATATATTGCATTAATATACAAATTTTTAAATTATTTCAATATATTCAAAAAATGTACAAATAATAGAAAATATAATAAAAAAAATAAAAATTTATATAGACAAAATAGATAAAAATAGAATATATTTAAAATAGAATATATTTAAATTATATATTTAAATATTTAAATTAAATATTGTTAACAATTTTCACATAATTTTTATATATTGTAAAAATTTATTGAATTTTTATTATTTAGAAAACTATTATTTATTAAAGAATATAATAAAAAATGGAGAATTTTTATTATAAAATATATTTTAAAAAAATTAAAAATTTAAATTAAAAAATTTTCAAAATTATTTAATTTATTTAAGAGGCATGATTGATTTTGATATTAAGTTAAGATCATATATTGCAGTAAACTTAATTGTTTAAGTGAGAATCTTTTTTTTTTGTAACAGATTTCTCTAATAAAAAATACTTTTTTTATTTTACTTTTTGTTTTTCAAATCGATTTTTCGATTTGATTGTTTTTTAACTGTTTTTCGAAATATTTAATTTGAGAATTAATTCTTACATGATGAGCTGAAGAATTAAAATTTGTTACATTGTTGAATTTCAGTAAATTATATTACAGAAGTTTTCTATTACATATTCTCATAATAAATTCATGATCTATGAAAAAATTTTTAAATTTTAATTATCATTAGTCAAAGGATTCTTCCTTAAAACTAATAAAACAATCAATATCATAATACTTAATGATTGATGGAAATACTACGATACTAATTAACAAGATATGTCGTCATATCAGTGAAATAATATTAATGTAACAATAAAACAATGAATAATGTATACAAATAATAATATGTAATTAATATGTAATTGGAAAGAAAAAAAAATCTTAAAAAAAATCATTTATATATTTTGAAAATAAAAAGTTAAATCGAAAAATCGATATATAAGAAAAAATATTTGTTTTCTTATCCAAGAAACGAAATTCGTTACAAAAAGTAGGATTTTATTTAAAAAAAAAACTAAATTTAACAATAGATATATGATTTCAATTCAATATCAAGAAAATGTCAATTAAACTTTTTTGAATTCTAGTTTTGTTTAAACAAAACTTTTTTTGGTATAGCTTAGTTTCAGAGATATTTTATTAAGTTAAAAATTTCATTACACATTAAGTTAAAATGAATCTATATAATATTAATATTTTATATTTTAAAGAAGTATTAAATAACAATAAAATTGTCTTTTTTCAAAATAAAGTATTAGAAACTACTTAAATATTTAAGATAATATAATATAATAAAAAGTTTAAATATGTAATCTTATAAATATGTAATCAAAAATAGGTGTTATATATATCTACAAAACTATTATGTACATAAAATAAATTCTTTAAAAAAATATATATTACTTTTATTCTATTGTATTTTTTATTTTAATAAATTAATAAGAAGGATAATATCGATAGAATAATATTAAAGCTATATCTAAATGTTAAATATTTACATTAATATTTCAAATACAATTTTATAATAATAATGTTTTTGAGAAGCTGCAAATTTAAAGAAAATAATAATTAAATAAATTTATGAAAAAAAGATATTACCTGAACAACAGATTCTGTTCCTGTAGTTGTTGGAATTTCTGATAAAAAGTTTTGTAAATCACTGAGTTGAATTTTATTATTTGTATTTGTTGTTGATCCAGATGTTGATGTATCTGATGTTCGTGATGATTTATTATCACCTAAATAAAAAATGTATGTAAATCATTGTAAATTATTTACATAATAAATGCTTACCATTAGTTTTAGGAGAATCATTAGCAGATGCTGATGAAGATACCATTTGTGTAGTAGGTCTTGAAGTATTTGTAGTAACTCGAGTTGATGCTGTTGTTGTAGAAGCTCTAGTACTTTGCACACCTTGAGGTCTATTCATTGTACCCAATAAACTACCTAAACCAATTTGACCTACACCCCCAAATAATTGCATTAATTGTTGCTGTGACATATTATTCAATAAATTTTGAAGATCCCCTTCAGGATTTGTACTGCCACTTCTTTGAGATCCAGGAGTTGGTGGATTATTTAGAACTTCATTAATTTTTCTACAATATTCTTCATCTTTATCTGTTTTAAGATCCTGTATAATTAAATATTAATTATGAAAATGTTTTATTGAAGTTTGTAAAATTAATATATTTCATGCATAAAATGCTTATATATTATTATATATATTTTTATAAATTATAAATTATATAATTATATAATTATATAAATATATTATATAAATTATATTTATACAATATATTTTTGCAATTAACCTATTTTTGTTACAATATTTTTTTATAAGTAATATTTATCATCAAAATGTTTTCTAGCATATCATGATATTTATTAACAAATATAACTTTAATTTTATTATATATGTACAATATAAATTTTTAAAGTATTTTAGTTATATTTAATACAAACATTAAAAAATATATAATTATTATCTTTGAAATGATGATATATTAATAATTACGAAATATTGTAATTATTAAACTTTTTAATTTTAAATAATTATTAATTATAACAAAATATATAATTTTATTAATGAAAAAATAAATTAATGAATTATCAAGATAATAAAAAATACTATATTTTATTTGAATTGTAATTAAAAAATTTTAATTAAAAAATAATTTATTAACACTAAATAAGATTATAATTTTCTTATTGTTTTTTTATTTTAAAAATAATCTTTTTATATATTTAAATTGTTAGAAGTTTTTTTTAATTCTTTTATTATAATAATGTGTATATATATATATATAAAAATTTATAATAATATAAATTATATGAAATGTAAATAAAATATAAATAAAAATGTAAAATATAATTTTAATAATATTATTATTAAGAATTATTTTTTACCTGGAGCCAAACAAAAAATTTTTTGTTAGATGACTTGAACCGTAAAAGATATACTCTTCCAGTTTTACACTGAGGAACATGTTTAAATTCACAATCATCAGGAAAAATAATTAAATCCTATAAAAAATATATATATAGAAAAAAACAATTTGTAATGTATATGCATATGTGTAAATATTATAAATAATACAATTTTTTATCATTTTTAAATTGTAATAAATTTTAAAGATAATAATATTTTTTACATCTTCAACATATCCTGATACACGATCTTTCCAACAAAAATGCATTAATGAATCGTCAGATTGATAAACGTAAAGTTGGCCTTTTCGAATATCTGGATAAACCATCTTCCTTTCATAGTCATTTTTCCTGCTTTAAATTCAACTAAATTTTTAGGAGTACTGCGTGAAGCATTATTTCCAAAAAGTGCTCCTCCTGACATACTTGGTCTTTTAAAAAATTTTTTGCCTTTTTTGTTTTGATAAATATATTAAAACTCTACACGCGGTTAATTTACGTTATACGGCGCGCTGATGACACTGCACTTTAAAATGGCGTATTAAAAGATTTCCAATCTTATATAAAATTCTTGAATATATGCGCCACGTAGTAGCAAAATCGAGTATTAGTTTATGTACGTCATGATTTTATCGATAGAGTACATAACCTAATAAACAGTCATAGATTATTTATATTATAGACAAGTTATCAAATGAGGTACAGAATGGATCTGATAATGTCGCTTGTTTCTAATTTTGATTATTTTAAATATTGTTTTCAAAATTATTGATATCTATAATATATCATATAATATATAAAATTGCAATTCTATTGCAATGGCAAATAGAATTAATATTCAATATTAATTGCAGACTTAATATCAATAAAATATTCAATAAGATATTCAATATTCAATGGAATTTTTGCTTTCATGTTCTGAAATATTGAAAAGTTATGTGAAAAATATTTGATATCCTTTATAATTTAGAGTGGAAGAGATTAAATTATATTTAATTCAATTATAAAAGTTAATAAAATTGTTTAATGTTTATAATATTCTTTTTTCAATAAAATATTAATTTATTTTACATCTATTTTTTTGATTAAATACATATAAATAACAAAAATATTTTTCGATGTATTGAACATAATAATTATATTTTATGTATAAAATTACATGTTAGTTTATTGCACTTTATATTAAAACAATATTAATATAATATACTAAACTATATAATAAAATATTAAATAATCTAACTTTTATGAAATAAGAATTATATTGTTATGAATTACATTATATTAGTTTCTAAGAGAAATTTTATTTGATTTGAAATCAGAATTTAAATTTTTAATTTATATTTTGATTCTGTAAAATGTAATTAAAAAAAGAATATATATTTAATAATAAGTATTATAATAAATTATAATTTTTATTAAATTATTAATAAAACAAATTATAATTTTGATTGTTTTGAACAATGCGAACAGATCTTCAACGTCATAAAATATTTTTGAAAAAATTATGAATGAATGAGTAAACTAGATTAAAATTTTTAAAATTATATATTTTTTTTCAATTATATTATGCAATTTGGATGTAATTTTTAGTTGTAATTTATATTGTTAGATAAATATTGTTTAATATGTAATAATAATATAAAATATAAGTTTGTTTTCTCAAAAATACAATAAAAATACAACAATAAGAAGAGTAATTGGAATTTTATAACAAATAACATATAAGAACAAAAATTTTTATTTTTTATTATTAATGAATTAGAATATCTGCTTTGTTCTATATTGCATTTTCTTGCTGATTTTTTATCATTTGATTTGGAATTATTTCAAAATTCCATTGACTTCTTTTAATATCTTTTTCAAAAAATTCAATCAGCATCTGTTAAAAAAATTAATGGTAATTTTAAATTTTAATTTATATTAGTAATATATATTTTACATAATAATTAAAATAATTTATCTATAAAATTTAATCTTATTCATTATCTTCACATATTTCTTTTTTTGAATTTAAATTTGTTATATATTTTATAACATTTTATATATATATTATACATATATATATAAAAATTGTTCATTTATTTTACAAAAAAAAGAATTTTTTAATGAAATACAAGTTTTGATTAACATTTTTATCTTGTTTAATAGAATATATATATTTTAAATATTATAAAGCCTGAAAAAATTTTTTAATACTATTGCTTACTTGAAAATTAATAAGATTATTATCACAGTCAGTAGTATCAATATTATTCTGATTGATGCCATATTTTTCTATTTTAACATAGATTCTAAATGGTAGTTTTCTTAAACATTCTAACTTCATAATATGCATTTTGTTACAAAAATAATTTGCGAAGTGACCACATATTTTGAATATTATTTTACAATCAATACATTTGAATGGTCCAGTATTGCTGGTAGTTGCAACTCCAAATGTAGAAGTCATATTAATCTATAACAGAACAATACAATCACATAATCAAACAAATTAAATTTAAAATATAATTAACGAAAGTTACATATTAAAAATTAATTGGGATTTTGCTCATTTTTCTCATTTTGCTCATTTTTCTCTATTAATTTCTTTGCTTTGCACTTGAAAAAATTTTTAAATTTTGTTATTAAAAAATAATAAAAGCTTTTAAAAATAAAAATAAAAATAAATTATTTTATAAAAATAAATCTCATATTTTATATTAAGAAAAATATTATTATTAATTAAATTTTAATGTTTTAATATTAATATTTTAAAATTAAAAAACATTTTTAAAATAAAAAATAAAAAATATTTTGAAATATGGAAAATAATTATATAAAATATATAATTATATATATATAATTTTATACAATTATATAAATATTATACAATTATATCATTAATAAAATTTCTAATAATTTTAAAAATAGTCTGCAATTTTTAAAAGATATCTCTATAAAATCTTTGCTTATATCTATGAATAATAGAAAAATACATTTATTACAATTTTTTAATTTTGAATCTTCATTCGAATTTTTGTGAACTAATTGATGGATGATAAAATCACCTTTTAAAGATGTTAATTTAAAGAATTAATAATAATAAATAAGATTAAATATTTATTAATATAAGAAAAAGAAACTAATATTCAGATAAAAAAATAATTACCTTATTATGGTGAGAAACAGATTTTTCATATTTAATCAAATAATTTTTAGTTCGAAAAGAGATAGCGTAACTTTCACATCTAAATAGTTTCTTGAAGTAACGAATGTTGATAATACAATTGTAACTGACTAGGTTTGCCAAACATCTTATTACAAATTCCGCAAAATTTCTTCCATTTCTTCCATCTTCAGTTATACTGTAATTATATTCAGTAGATTCAGTTTTTTCATATTTTTTTCAAATTATATAAATTACATAAGATATCAAAAATATCAAAAAAACTATGAATTAGAATGTCTTTGTGCAATTAATTGTAGTAAATTTGTAGCAATATTTTAAAATTACATAAAATTTTAAATTTTAATATACTTTTTCTACTAGTTTATATCAAAATATTTTTCATATTTACATTAGAAATATATAATAAAATAAAAGAAATAATATAGTTATAATAATTAGAGACAATTAATTCTAAAATTGAAAAATAAATTATTCAATTTTTTATTAAAAAATTATAGTATTATTAATTAATTCGGATTTATTTTAAAAGATAAAATCATTATTTTTATTTCATATTTTCATATTGTTTCATATTTTCTTGCGAAAATACTTTTATACCAAAAAAAAAAAAATAGAAAATATGAAAATGATTTTCTCTTTTCGAAAATTTCACAAAATAAAACGTTTCTATAATGTTTTTGAAGATAATTTTTTTGAAAATTAAATCTTCCTTTATAATAAAAAATTGCTGTAGTTGATTTTTTATCATCACTTCATTGCACTTGAAGAATGAGTTATTATCATTAAAATAATTTTGGCAATAAGTGCAATTATATAATCGAATTATGTAATTTTTAAGTAATTTTTAAAGTATATATATATATATTGAATCCTTATTTTATTAAAATTTTAAAAAAGGTAATTTTTCAATTAAATAAGACAAAAATTAAGAATAAAGTGATTGCATTTTCGACTTTATTTTTTAATTATTTTTTAATTGATAATTATAATACAAATATAAATTATACAATATATTTATAAATTATAAAATATAATACAAATTAAAATAAAAAATCAATATATGTATAATAATTTTAATATATTTTTCTCAAGTTTAAAAAATATTTTAACAATAAAAAAATTTGGATCAAATATGATTCAAGAAAAGCAAAATTAAATTTCTTATTGTTTTCTTTTATTTTTTGTTTGTAATGATTAAAATCAATTAATATTTTATTTATTGAAATGAAAAGTAAAAAATTATAAAATTCCAATTCTTTATTATTAAAAAAATCATATTTTCAAAAAAAATTATATCTTAAGTGACAAAAAAAAAAAATTTTTAAAATTATTAATAAAATCAATAAAATAGATATCCATTTTTTTCTTTTCTATAATAATGATATTATATTTATATTAATAATACATTTATAATAATCTGCCTAATTTTTTTGAATTTTTTATTAAAATATAAAAGAGATATAAAAGAAATATAAGAAAATATAAAAGAATTGCAATATGAATATTAAAAATGAATATTTATATTAATAATGAATATTTTTTTTTAAATTATAATTGATAATTTGGATTAAAATTGAATATTTTTACTTAATTTTAGACGTATTTAATTTATTCTTTAGTTTATATGTTTATAAAATATTATTGATGATCTTTATTATATAATCTATATACAAAGCAGAATAACTTAATTGCTATAGGATTAATTTTTGAATAATTTATTTTAGACGATTTATTAAATAAAATCCTAAATTCACTTGATATAATTAGATGCAAGTCCAATTGATAATTGCAAGAACTTTGTTTGTGATTTGATAGTTGGATTTCATATGTAATAAACAAATAATTTGAAACTTATCATGAGAAACTTAATCATAAGAATTTATAATATCTTATTTAAAAGAAAAATTCTTTTTTTGTTTTTTTTTCATTAAAAGAGCATAATAGACAAAAATGATAATATTTCTTTACCTTTTTCTTTACCATACATATTGTTTTTATTGCTTTCCAAATCTTCGTCGAGCATTTTGATTCTTCTTGCTTTTTTTTGCATATCGCTATCCAAACCGCTGTCCGAATTAAATGGCGTGGTAAATCTGTGCGAGGAATGTGTTAAAATATCCTCCTGCTTTTTCCATGCAATTGTATAATTAACCGGTCTATGTTTCGAATCGTAATGCGCCATGTCAATGTCTGATGGTGCTTCTTTACATATTTTCCAATTCGAGTACATGGATAAACCATGTTGCTGTGTGACGTACATTGGCTGCGGTTTGTTCAGAGTGCAATAGAACACTCTGGTCGAGCATTTCAGGCCAAAATATGTATAAGCATGTCTGTTGAGGTAAAGCTGTCTATAAGATTTTTTCGATCGTGGAGTTTCCGGACTTATAAGCGGAAGCATGTTTCCCGTAGGAGTGATTTCGTGATATTTCTTGGTCGTGAACGTGCCCGGTTTTAACGATAACGAAATGTGCCTCAAAAATTTGTTTGGCTTGATTTTTTCTTTAGAAGATACATCGCTGTTTTCTATCAGTTTCATTTCAGATTTTTCTGTTTTGGTTAAATTTACAGAAGTTGTACTTAGTATACTCGGAGTTGATATATTTGGTATGATAGGACTCAATATTTTCGTCACATTTGGCAAAGATATGAAGGAACTCGAAGTGGAAACTAGTGGTTTATATACCATCGTGCCACCTGAATGGAGATCTGATCTGATCACTACCGAAGAAGTCTCGGAAGTAATGCATTTGTTACTCACGATCTCTTCATTTTTTCGAGAATTTATTGATTGTGATTCGAATGTTATCGTCTTACTTTCACCAGTATTGTTCAATATTCTGTTTTCTCCGCCGAACATTTGCAATGAATTTATCCGTGGACATTTGCCCAGCTCTTCGAGAGATTGTAATGCAGTCTGTACGAATTCTAATCTGTGCTTTTTCATAGGCGATATATACGTGTCAATTAATCTCGTATTGTCTAAAAGAGAATCACAAGAGGGGAAAGACATTAAATTGCTGTAATAATCGGAAGACTTTGAATTTAAATTGGATTCTCTTTTCTCGATTTCCAATTGATATTTTCTTCGAGAACTACCATTCCAATAATATCTACGATGAATATTGAGAATATTGGTGTTCGAATGCGGTACAAAATAATAATTTCCATTTTTAGTTTTACTTTTTCGACACGAATTTTGATTTTTCAATAAAAGATTTTTGATTATAGAACCACGTTTTGATTTGTTAAGACAAACTTTGCATTGTTGAACGAAGCTCTCGCTATAACATCCTTCCTCAAAAATTCTTTTGCAAAAGAAAGATTCAACGGTTGATCGATGAATTGCTTCGTTTCCACGAGACTTTGTTGTCTTTGGATCAATTTGTATAATCGTGGATCCATTGTATCGATCAATACATGATTATTCGTGATAATCTTATCGATGTGCTCTTCTACTTGGTACTCCAGATTTGGTTTTGGCACAACAATAACTGTCATCGAGGAAGAACTATTTGTAAAAGTGAAGGAGAGGAAAGATTTTTCAATCTTATTATTGGCGCATTGTAATACTGTGTGAAATTTTGGCTTGTAAATTTTTCCAGTTTTAATAGTTCTTAAGTTTGTCATTGTAGAAGATAAAGGGGATGGTGGTGTGCTGGTACCATTACTCCTATCGGACAAATTTACGTCTGAATCCTCCGATATCTATAAAAATGATGGAATATGCAAAAAATTCTATCAACAAATATCTTTTAAAAAATACAAATTTTAGTAATATGAAATATAAATTAATATTGTATATTTATATTTATTGTAATGTACTGTACAAGTATATAATATTGTATATTTGAAAAGACAATAGATTGAATAATATTTTTTAAATACATCAAATTTCATTTTGTTTAAATATCAAAGATTTATTTATTCTATATAATTCATTTTCTTTTCTATTCATCTCTCATTTAAAAATTATTTATATATAAGAGAGATATTATTATTGAAATCATAAAAAGCCAATTAATCGAAACTCACGTACCTTGGCATCACCACTCTCCATTTTGAGGACATGAGTGCGAGATCTGCAATGCTTGTAGAAATTTGACTTAGTCTTGAACGCGAATCCGCAAGGCACACAAAGATACGGTCTCTCATTGTATGAGCTCTGATGTGTTTTTGTAGAACACTTGATTTTGCATACGATAGTCTGCAATAAGGCATACATAATCGTTTTTTCTCGATACAATTGATTCTCCTTCCGTTGATTCCAGGGAGATCTCGATTGAGTCTTTCGACGATTCTCTGGAGTCCTTTTTTGAATCCTTTCTTTTAGTTGGCTCTGAAAAACTGTTGTTGACTACAATATTCTTCTTCGGTTCTATTGTTGTAACTTCGGTTGTTGCGATTTTTTTGAATTTTTTATGCAGATAATTTTCACCATCGTTATTGTTGTTGTTATTTTTATTATTATTGTTGTTATTATTATTATTTGTCAACTGTGAATCTGTCATCGCTACAATGTAAATTTCTGAAAATAATTAACGATGCAAAAATTAACGATTGAAAAATTGATTTAAAATTAAATTAAAACTATTACAAGAAACGAATGAAATCGTTGATTTTTCTTTAAATATTTTGGATGTTCCGTTCTGTTAAAATTTTTAAAGATAAAAAAAAAATAAAGAAAATGATAGAAAAATATTAAATTTCATTAAAGAATAAAAATGACAATAAATTTTCTGAAGTGAAACCACAATGTAATAGAAACAGAATAATCTCATTCTATTCTATTTCTTTTATTTTCTTTAATGCAATTTTAAATTGCTTATAACTTAATAAATAAGATTCTAACTAATATTTTTATATATAAATTTTTGTGTTTATTAGATTAGAATTAGTTTATTAGGTTCTAGAATCAATTTAAAATGTCTCACGAATATATTACTTCAATATGAATATGTATGCGAAAGAACAGAAAATTTATGGAAATAATAAAAGAAATATATTATAGAAAGAAAAATTTTAATTCATGTATGCATTTTTAATAAATAAATATGATAAATATTGATATGTATTGAATTTTAACTCGAACATCATTTATTTTCAATTCAATATCTTCAGAATGAAAACTATTGAGTGAAATAGAAAGAATAGTTTATTAACTGATTTCTTGATCTACACAATTATTCGTTTAATTTAAATTGATGTAAAATTTAAATTGATTTAAAATGTTCGATATAATTTTAATGAAAAAATTTTTATAAAAAGTAAAAAAAAATATAAATGTTATCTTTTTTTTTATGTTTATACTATGCATTTTATATAATAATTATTATCTTTATTGCATTATATATATTAAAATTTCAATATAAAAATCTAAAATATATATATTATATTAGTTTAACAATTTTTTATTACGAGATAAATGTTTTTAAATATTTTGTCTTTTAGTTAAAATATATTATTAATTAATATTAATACTTTGTCTATATAAAGCTGTTTCTAATACAAAATTAGTTTATTTATAATTCGATAGCTAAATTTCATTCAATCTTTTTGTATAACATTGTCATTTTTACGATATTTAAAATGAATTCTTTAAAACTATCTAATATTTAAGTAATATCCTATATATATACATATATACTATTTTCTTACCTCTTTTCGTGTTATACAATCATGAGCATGACACTGTCAGATTTATTATAGAAACATGTCATAAGAGCACAATAATAATTTCCTTGAAAAAATTGAAAAGAGAATCTCTTCGATTCTTCATTTGTTTGTTTCTCTGGGGCGTTTAGCCGAAGTCACTTCTTTATTTTAAGCTGTACATTTGCTTTGTTGTCTACATCTTTTGCTCTATTCTTTTTCTTTTTTGCAGAAGTAATAAAAAAAGACTTACACGCTTCATCTTTTTCTCTCTGGTATGTGATAAGACACAGAGTCACAACTTCTCTTTTATCTACTTATTAACACGTCAATCTGTTTGCTATGCAAATCCTAAGCAACCGGTGCTGACGTAGATAACACTAACGCAAATAAGTTTGACGATATCTTTCACTAATACATTTAACGGCAAGTAGTTAGTCATTGCCTGTATAACGCATAAAAAATATAATTGACTATGTATAATGGTAAGTCATAAAAATTCCACACGGATTCTCCTTTAGTTTCCCACTCTTTATTCGGCAACACTGATACCGAAACCACTATACAATTCTTCTCAATATCAATGCTATTATAACAGATATTAATGTTATTGTATATTATGATTAATTTGCCATTAATATAACTAACACATTAAATATTAAACTTGCTTCATTGTTAAACTCACTACAAACACATGAATTCTTACAGTTTACACAGTTCTATAATTTTTGCTTGACGTCATTGACGTCTAATCATGATTTCATGTATTCATCATTTTGCATAGTGTTCTCGAACATATTTCGTGCTTTTCTTTAATGATAGATCTTTTTTATATTTTTTGCATTTTTCGTTTCTTACGATACGATTTCAATTGTTTTGTTTCAAACAAGTTGCTATCATAATATTTTCTTTTTTTTGTAAACTTGTTTTTTATAAACTTTTTGCAATTGAACTTTACAGAAATCGATTTTTTCACTTTGATTAATCTTCACTTTGCACACTAAAAAATAATGACGTTTCGAGCAGACTGCTACAATACAATATACTTTTATAATCATTCATTTTTATTTTATTCATACAAGAAATTGATTTGATTCACTATAAAGAATCTCAAAACGCATATATCAAGCTTTTGATTTGTGTCACTCACATTGATTCAATCATTATTACTCATCATTTTTTCTGCATAATTCTTGCTTGACAATACTGTGCGAATTTTTTACATTTCTGTTTAATTATTATTTACTATCTATTAATAATACTATCACCACAATCTTTTTCCAAAAAAAAGTAATTATCTAATATGATTTCGTTTTCAAATAGATGCACATTTTCCTATCGGATTTTCAACAAATGATCACAATAGTAAAAACGATAACCGGCAACTCAATGTTCCAGGATTGTTCATTGATATATAAGTGGAACAATACACATGTTATATCTGACAGCATTGTTATTGTTGCGTAACTGATGTCCGTTAAGTCCGTTAAGTTTCTGACAGTTGAGATGAAAAACAGTGGCGTGAGAGAGAATTAATAGGAATCGTTAGTGAACCAGTAAGCGATTATTTTTGACGAAAGAACAGTGAGCGTGCGAGCAATGCGCCGTCTGGTGTAGATGACGACAATCTATTATTTTTCGAGAAGCATAAAGCAATTTCATATATCGAACGCGTACTATCGAGTCGCTGAAAGAATAGACTCCAAGCTCGACCATTACTGAAGAAGATCTTAGTGGGACGAGAGAAGAAGAATTTCACAGTTAAACAAGTGTAAAATCCCATTTACAGTATATATATTCGTTTTTTCAAACTTCTCTCAAATTAGTATTTATGTATATACTCAAATTAGTGTATACATACTGTACATTACTCTTTAGTTAATGACAAATTAAAAATATCATTATTGTTAAATTTTTAAATTAAAAAATTTCTAATATAATGTTTAAATATATATATATATAATATACTGTAAATAAACTCTTGTTAAATAATTAATAATAAGTAATAATTTCGGTTAATATATATTTTTTATTGTTGGTTAATTAATATTTTTTTAAATATTTTCTTTAAAAAATTTATTTTAAAAATTTGTAAATGTGTGTAAGTTTGAAAAATTAGATTGTGTTATTTATGCTATTAAATAATTTTCAATAATGATATTTATGTGAATAGTTCATATTTTTATTTTTATTAATCACATAAATGTTTTTATAATTTGTAATGAAATAACAATTATAAAAATAAATCTGCATTTCAATTGAAGAATTTAAAATAAATGAGGAACAAATCTATTTATAACAATTTTAGAATAAAAAAAATATAACAACTTTAAAAAACTGTTTATATATATTTATATATATAATAATTAATAATTGATGTAAATAGTAATTAGTAATCTTTAAATTGATAAGTTTTATTCTAATTTAAATTCTTAGCAGATTTTTCAAATTTGGAACTGTTTTCGATTTGTAATTATAAAAAAATTAATTATAATTAATTATAAAAAAATTTTAATCAATAATATATATTAAAACATATATAATTTATTAATTTATTGTTATTTCATTAATCAAATATATCGTTTTCTGTAAAAAAGGGACAAATCTGAGTTTACATTTTTATTGCACAAAATATGATTTGCATTTTTAATGTATAAAAAAGTCAATATATAATCAATTGTTCGTTTTTTATATATAATTTTATATTATGCTTTAGTAATAATTCAAAAACTGTCAAAAATAGATCTTTTCTTTTTGAGCAGAAATTCAACTACATAAAAAATTTAGAAGAAAAAATTATATGATAATCAATTTATGATCGTAATAGTACAGTCATCAATTAATTTATTTTGTACACGATACGAAGTTTCCAATATATTGTACATGATAATGTCATATGAGTATGATTTTTGGATTAGAAAGTATATCGTATTGTATATTCTCCTGTGATCTATATCACGAAACATCTCCACACAATCTGGCATGTTGTCTTTATCCAGGGGTAACAACCCTTACTGTCTATGAAGCATGCGCTTTACCACTCAGTTCCCTTGGGATACCTTCGGTGAGCGTAGATTCCTGATAAGTTACCGCCTATTCCTTTTCTTCCCTCAAAGACATCCTCAAGAGAATTCATTTCATCTTCTTGAAACACAGATTATATGAATGTGCAAATCTTTGATTATTTTAAAACAATTATTCAAAAAAATCAATTGACAATAATAAAGAAACAAAAAAATAGTAACTACGATACAAAAAAGAGAATAATATAAAAGAGAATAACACATTAATTTTAATTGTATTTAATTATATTTATTGTTAGTATTTGGAGCTGAATTTTAATGGAATGATATAAATACATATGTATCAAATAAATATTTATAGTTAGATAATCATTTATAGTTAAGTATTTTTTCAATTAGATATTAGTTAAGTATTAATAACTGAAATGTTTATAAAGTAATTTTTCATTTCAATTTAAAATATTGATTGATTCAAATGTTCTTTTGTTATAAGATTTTAAAAAATTTTAAAAAATGATTTCTTATTGAAAAATACGATGAATAAATAAATAAAAAAGTTATTTAATAATATTTTATATCTATATGTTCAAAATATTATTCAAAGTAAATCTATTATATAT